TAGACTATTACAATTGAGTTGAAGTATTGATTTGGAATATTCATAATGTTTTTTTGATAATAGGCTGCGGATGTAAGCATCTTGGCACCTGATTTATACATCCATTATGTGTACTTGCATTCCAGGAAATATTTTTTTATGCTATTGGGTCATCATTTGGTGGTTACCAATTTAGGATCAGATGCTGTCAAAAATAATCATCAAATATGAACGTGAGATCTGGAGAGACAGAGAGAAAGAATAGAGAATACATAGTAGTGATCAAATGCGAATGTTGAATGATTTACGGGGTTTTCCAGAAGCAACGTAATACATGATTCGCTGTTATGAATCTTTATATTACATGTTTTTTAGGAAAACATGTAATATTGGAATTTTTCTTTGAATAACTGGTTTTGGCAGGGGCGTCATGACGTCAAACTGCGTCCTTGCGTCCCAACGTCCACACTTCCGGTTCCGTCTAAGTACTTCAGGAAAAGACGTTGGGACGTCTAAAGATGACGTACAACGTCCCACCGCCATATTTTCACACCTATATTCTTGGAACGCCACACAGTCCATTAGTCATCAAAGGCATATACTATTAACTAATAAAAAATGTTATGCAATTTAATCAATAAAAATAAAAAAAAATACATATAAATATGCAATATGTATTAGAAGAGGAAAAATGAGGAGAAAATATAAAAACAAAGATAAATATTATTATTGTTTATACCAATTTAAAATGTTTAAAATACCAATAGAAATATAGTATAATCAATTATAAATATATCACATAAAAAATAACATATAAAATAGGATTAAAATGGGGGGAAAAGAGGGGAACACTAGGGGAAGAGAAATCATCATTAAACAAATGAATTAATATGAAAATCAACATTTAACCCTTGTGGAGTGATCTTTATCTCCACCTCTCCAGTGAATGTGAATTTCATCTATCCCTATAACATCAATACCTTTTGGATCCCCATTGTGTACCTCTAAATAATGCTTGGATACACTGTGGTTAATATATTTTCTTTGGATATTATAAATATGTCCCCTGATTCTTGTTTTTAAAGTGTGTGATGTCTTACCCACATATTGGTAGCCACACTGGCAAGTCAACATGTAGATTACATCCTTTGTGGAACATGTAATAAAAGGACGTATTGTATATTCTTTTTTAGTTACAAATGAAGTAAATTTTTCTACTTTCCTACTTTTATTTGATCTAAAACTACATCCTCTGCAGTTACCACAATAATGAAACCCTTTACTACCTTGTAAAAAATTCCCTTCAGTTTTAACTTTATCTTTATCTAAAAAGCTTTTAGTTAAAATCTGTTTAAAATTTCTTGCTCCTCTAAAGATATACTAGGGTTGCAGATTTAAAAACGGAATTATTTCTAAATCTTCTTTCAATATATGCCAATGTCTATTAATAGTTTTCCGTAATGCATTATCTGTTTTTATTGTTCATTTGTTTTATTTGTGGTAGCGTGGCCCACGAAGGTGATTGTAGCACCGCCACTAGATTTTAGGAATTTTTTACACTTGTATTTTTATTTTATACTCTTATACTCACTAAGGAACTATTAACTATGATGGCATCTTTGCAAGTATGAAGACTTCACACTGTGGTGAAGATAAACAAAACTTTATTCACAATATGCCACAACATCCAGAGCTATAGAAATCTAATTGGCTATAGAAAGTATGAGCGCATACATATATGTTTGTCTGTATATATATTTTAGATGACATCTTCTATTAAGGATTATAAAGCAGTGAAATGGTTGATGACAACACTAAATAAATAATAAAGACATCCATTAACATTGTTATGTTCTCACTTATTTAATTATATTTCAGATAACCTCTTGGTTGATATCACTCAAGTGATTTTATTAGTGTAAAACTCTATGGCTGATTATAGGAGATTTTAATATATGAATAATACTTACATAATGTATCTAATTTACAGAGCAGATTTTTTTCTTTTTTTTTCCTTTTTTTTCCCTTTTTTTTAAAGAAAGCAGAAAAAAAGAACTGTGTGACCAACAGGTGAATAATTTCACTGTGCACAGGCTTAGATAACTTGATAGCCTGTCACATTGTATAGAAGCAATTAGATGGCAGTGTACCGGAAACTACTTTTGCAGATTAAAAGAATTTAATGCTGCACTATACTGATTTTTTTTAAAGCCATTTCTTCAACAGTTACACAATAAAACATTTTTTTTTCTCCGTTAATGAATTATGTTAAAAAATAAAATTTCAAAGAGAAAATACAAACATTTTTATTATAGTACACTCCATGATGGGAAGGCAAGCTGCAATAATATCATATAACATCTATGGAGCCCCAGAGCTGGAAATGTATATATATTTTTAAATAATGCGCACATGGTACTACTCCATGCAAAATATTTAGTAGAAAATGCCTGTAACATTAATGTTAATGTGTGCGTACGCTTTATCTATTTTGTGGGTTCTATGTAGTTAACTCATGCGTTCAATGCGCTAAATCACTGTCACAAGATAGCTTTATAGTGAACAGCAGGACTAGCACTTTGGTAAGCATTTGCTTGTGTCTAGGTTCCAAAATGGCAGTGAAGACAGCAGGCCCCCCCAATGACATCAGAGGTAATTAAATGGACACTATAGGTACCCAGACAACTTCATCTCATTCAAGGGGTCTGCGTGCACTGTCCAAGATCCCTTAGCCCTGCAAAGCCAGTTATCGCAGTTTTTAAGAAACTGCAATAATTAACTTTGTGGGTTAACTCCACCTCTACCAGACAGCCACTATAGGGACTTCCATTTCAGTTAGGTGACTTTTGGTCACCTAACTGATGCTGGACATTCTCACACTTTGCATGGGAACATCCAGCATCACCCAAAACCCATAGGAAAGCATTGTATAATGCTTACCAATGGGGAAATTCTAAAGTGGCGGAGGAGGATGAAGGTGGTCTCGAGCCAGCGCCGAGGGACATGACGGAAGGGTTTTTTAACGCGGGAGGGAGGGGGGACTATAGTGCCAGGAAAACAATGTTGCACTATAGTTTCCATTTAAGAACATATTCAGTTTCCTAATTTCACTATAATAGAAATACTTGCCATCATTGTTTATAGGTTTGTAAATACATTTTATTTTTAGTAGGATGCACTGTGTTGGGGAAAATCCAATAGGATATAATCAAATAAACTCTTCTTTTTCCAGTACTGGCTGCATTTCCTCTGCAGCCCTGATCTGCCTCTTGTGAAGTCAGTGTTACTGATGACTTGTGTCCATTCAACTGCTTCTAATAAAGATGCTCTCTGGCACACAAACAATGCTTGTTATAGAATAGCAATGCTTACAATGCTTCTGTAGCATTGTCTGTCTTTGATTAGCTCGTGTGACTGTGCTTTAAGACGTCTTATGTAAGAGCCCATCTGATACATTAAAGCGCAGAAAAAAAAATCTATTTATTTATAATAATATTTTTCTTTTTATTATCTATTTTTTCCACTTGGTGGTTATTTTTTGATCAAACACCAATAATGTTACATTTCTTGCGCAGGAAGTACCGTATATATTAGAGTATAAGACTAGTTTTTTGGCACATTTTTTGTGCTGAAAAACCCCCACTCGTCTTATACTCAAGTCAATCTCTGTATTATGGCAACTTACATTGCCATATTACAGACCAGGACCGCTGGGCTCATTACAAGCTGTAACTTACCTTTCCTGCAGCTCCTGTCAGCTCCCTTCTCCTGCGTTCCGGTCAGCTCCCCTGTCACCTACACTGTAAGTCTCACGAGAGCCATGGATCACCGTGGCAACGCTCCGCACGGCACTCAGACCGCGAGACTTACAGTGGAGGAGAAGGGAGCTGAGTGGAGCTGCAGGAAAGGTAAGTTTCAGCTCGCTGCCATCCCCCCTCCTACACAGCCCATGCCACTGGACCACCAGGGAATGAGAGCCCCCCTCCCTGGCCAGGTATCAAGCAGGGAGGGGGGACAAAAAAATAAAAATTTAAATAATAATATAATAAAATTTTTTATAATATTAAAATAAAATGAAAATAATAATATTAAAAAAAAACAAAGTTTAATATTGAAATAATAATAATTTTAAAAAAATTATAAAAATGCCCACTCCCCACCAAGGTTAAACACTCTGCATCACACACACACTGCATTCATACACACACACACTGCATTATATACACACACACACACACTGCATTCATACACACACACACACACACACTCTGCATTACATACACACACACACTGCATTCATTATATACACAAAATAAATAATCAATTAATGTAATTTTTTGGGGATCTAATTTTATTTAGAAATTTACCAGTAGCTGCTGCATTTCCCACCCTAGTCTTATACTCGAGTCAATATGTTTTCCCAGTTTTTTGGGGTAAAATTAGGGGTCTCGACTTATATTTGGGTCGACTTATACTCGAGTATATACGGGTATGTGGTAATTAGTTTCTATTTGCTTCAATCCTACACCTCTATTACCTTTAAAATGTAATATAATCCTTCTGGATTATAGGTTTATAAACACACAAAAGTAGGTGATGTAGCATGTGTACTATGTGTATGTGTGTGTATGTTAAGTCGTAGGTTTCCTCCCTTATAACAGACATCCTTTGCACTAAATAATGAGTTGAAAGGGATACTGTTGGCACCAAAACAACTTTGGCTTAATGAAGCAGATCTGGTGTATAGATAATGCTTCTGCTCATTTCTCTGTCATTTATGAGTTGAATCACTTTTACACAACTTTCCTAAACACTTATTGTAAAGTTACATCTAACGTTTAAACATCCTCTATTGCACAGTCTGTTTAACCCCTTAAGGACACATGACGGAAATATTCAGTCATGATTCCCTTTTCTTTCCCTTCATGATTCCCTTTGTGTCCTTACGGGGTTTATTTAGATTTTACTTTCAAATGGCAGAGTATTGAGGGACATAATTTATACCAGAAGTAGGCAACCTTTGACATTTCAGATGTTTTGAACTACATCTCCCCTAATGCTTTTACTATTACAATGATAGCAAAGCATTAGGGGAGATGTAGTTCAAAACATCTGGACTGCTGAAGGCTGCCTACCCTGAGAACTATACACTAAAACTGCAACACTAAAACTATACACTAAAACTGGGCACACTAGATGGGATAAATGGGTCTTATCTGCCGTCACATTCTATGTTTGTATGTTTCATTAGGCTGAAGTTGTTTTGATGCCTATAGTATCCCTTTAAGAAGACACCATTATATAATGTAAAGCTTTTGCATGGCTTTCCGTTGTTATGAAATCAATTATATTAATCTCGTTATGATTCGAGGCAGCAGCTTTCTTCTTCATACATATTTTTATGCTGATGTAGGATTGACAAAATAATAACAAAGCATATTATCTCTGACTAGGAATAAAATTTGTAGAAAAATTGTAATACTAAATGTATTTTTTATCTGAGCTAAGGGCTATATTACTTATAAGATCAAGCTGTCAGAAGGTATAGTTTACTGTAAAATAGATTTTGTATGTATTATTAAATATAAAACACAGACTCACATGGAAATATTAAATTATGGGGAGTCTTATAATGCCACTATTTTTTAATAGGTTCTTGTGCACTATTTTTTCATCAGATGTAATATTGTCTATTCACATTTGCATACTTCTCGATATATAAAGTTACAGAAAAAATATTATAACAAAGACCCTATGGTGCTCAAAAGGCAAACCGTATGAAAACTGAATGCCATTTCCAATGTAAAAACCACAAAGGTATTATAGTCAAACTAAATATTGCCTTTGGCAATTAAGGTATATGGACATGATGCTCTCAATAAAATGTAATCCCTCAAGGGACAAAAAAATAAACAAGAGACTAGACATAAAACATATATTATTGCTGTGTATAAAGCTTACTTCTCAGAGCCTAGCTTGCATTGTCGTCGTAAGGACCATACCTATTGTGCTATTATGTATATATATATATATATATATATATATATATATATATATATATATAACGTACACAGTGGAGACAATGTTGAATGGATAATGCAAAGAGACCTGATCTGTGTAGTTCCTGATCTGGTGGGTCTCCCTGTCGTTGGTTGAATACCCAATTAATTCCCACAGCTATGTACCGTGATATTTTTGATCCCTGGACAGATCTAATCAGTCAACATGTAAGTAATAATGTCTGCCCCTCCCTGATACAGAGGAGTAGCAGATTATGAATATTTGACTCTCTAATGCAAACAGGGAAACCGTTCCTGCTGACAGAGAAAATATATAACCACAGACATTATGGGGATACAGCTAAACACCTAGTTTTGTGCTTCTTCTGATATACATCATTAAAATCCTTGGCCTGGGCTGGTTTAATATATCTTTTCCTGATCCCAGCAGTACTGGATCCCAATGTGTCCTACTGGTTTTGATCTTGACTATTCCAACTTCTTATACTTAATTTGCTTCAAATACTTGTTGCTCATATCAAACAGGATTGACTCAGCTTTGCAACTAACATGCAGAATGTTGGGTAAAACACTCATCTTAAACTTTTTTTTCTAATTTATAATCCAGAAAGAAAATACCAATTTCAAACTTTCCCTCCTATTTGTTTGACTTCTGGAAAGTTTCACTTTTGCGAATAATCTGTATAATCATATAAAATACACATTGATACATATACACATATAATGAGATTAGAAATAGGTGTTATTGAGGTCATATAGTCTATACCTGCATCCACATTCCTGCATCCACACTTGCATCCCAGTATATTCTGTTTAAGATTAAGATATTTCTGCTATCATTTATATTTTGACGGCTTGCTAGTATATATACATACTCAAAATGGCAGTGTCTTTATCATTCTTCCAGGTAATTAACAATATCCACATAATTGGTTTAATTCTTTTGGATACGCTTTTCAAATTATCACAATCTCTTAGAATAAAACTTTTCAAATGATTTATCTACCAAAATTCCCACAGACTTGAATTGTGACTTCTGTATCTAAATTATATTAAAAATGTTTTTAATAGCTTGTGATAATTTGAAAAGATTACATAAAATAATTAAATTAAGGCCTATGCATAGCACATTATTATAAACTACTATCATTCTTGATATTTGCTTCTGTTACGCCTGAATTATATTGTCATTTACTTTATTCTAGAATTAAGCTTCTCAATTAAGAAATATCTAAATAAAGTTATGATAGTACGTGTTAGTGTATGTTCTCATGTATGCAATATTTATTTTGAATATTTATCCATTTAATTTTTCTAGGCATATTTTATATATCTGTATTATTTTTTACAAAAATCCAAGTAGATGGCTGCACTCACGGTTTTGTATAAAAGACAAAGTTTATTGAAGAGTCATAAAAAACCTTACGATCAACGTTTCAGTCCTTCCAAGAGGACTTTCTTCATGATCCTGAAGAAAGTCCTCTTGGAAGGACTGAAACGTTGATCGTAAGCTTTTTTATGACTCTTCAATAAACTTTGGACTTTTATACAAAACCGTGAGTGCAGCCATCTACTTGGATTTTTGTATACTTTGGCTATATATGGCTGGCACCCAGTCACAAAGGGAGGTATCAGCGTGAGTGCAGGAATTATTTTTGTTTTTTGTATTATTTTTTATGTATAAAGCAGAAGATTTATTGTGTATTAAATTATGCTATACAAAAATGTTGACATATCCAGAAATGCAAATAACAAACTTGGCTTGAATAAAGTATTATGGCCTCCATTTAATATTGTTGGATCAGCTTTCCAAATGATTTAATATTTTTGGATAAATGTTTTTAAAAAAATTCAATATATTATATCAACACATAAATCTTATATAAAATAATATATCAACACATCAAAAATATCTAAAGATTAAGAAATAAAATATTTTTCATAAAATTACATTCTTTTAAAAGTTTATCCTAAAATTTTAAACAATGTGAAAAGCTTATGAAACAATATTAAACCTAAGAATATTTCAGAGTACATAAAGCATTACATTAAATTAAAGTTAGAGATTTATCTAATAATAACTAATTAAAAAGATAAAAAAGTTGACATATAAACTTCCTGACATGGCTTTTCTAGGCATTAGGAAAGTAAAGTGGTTGTTTTTTTATTGAAATCATATATTTAACCCCTTAAGGACTGAGCCAAATGTACACGTTGTGATAAAAACAAAACGGAAACAAAACATTGAATTTGCGCTATATATCTGTTCAGGTGTAATTCACCTCTTTCATATTAAGTGCACCCACACTTATTATATGTCATTTTATTCAGGGGAAACAGGGCTTTCATTTAACATAAAATATTTAGGTGTGAAACATAATGTAATATTAATAAAATATAAAAAAATGGGAGAAAATAAGAATTTACATTTTTTTTTTAGTTCCACGTGACATTTTAACTGTGAATGTCATAATACTGTTTGCTTTTACTGCAATAAAATACACATTTGTATTTAGCGATGCCTCATGTGTAAAACAGCACCCCCTATGTACAGGTTTTATGGTGTCTTGGAGAGTTACAGGGTTAAATATAGTGCTAGCAAATTAAATTCCCTGGACTTTTGGCCTAGGTTGTCAGGCAGATCCTGCAAATTGTAATTAATAAAATGACCTAATTATGTAAAATTATTACATAAATATATACGTAGAATTGTTATATATATATATATATATATATATATATATATATATATATATATATATATATATATATATATATATATATATATATATATATACACACACATATATATATATACACATACATACATACACACACACACCCCAATAATAAAAATTCCCCTCTTATTGTAAAGTGCTGCGGAATAAGCTGGCAATATATATATATATTTGTGTAAGGGGCAAAATAGCCGTATATGGAGTAAGGATCCAGCATAAGCTTAGGATAGTGTAAAGGGAGCAAGTCGGTTGTGGTGTGCCGATACCGACGATACGGTAGGCCTGTAAATAAAGAGGGCCCTCCAAGGAGTAAGAAAGTAAAGTAAATGGAAAGAAAAGAGAAAGTGTTGAAATGAGGAGTGGGTGGGAGGGTCATTCTGATGCTGACCTCAAGCGATATGAGTCAGGTAAAGGGTGTCCCTTATATAGGGGAGTGAATTAATTTAAGCCCCTCCCACAAATACAGGCAAAACTGCCTTAATACTTGTGTAAGGGGCAAAATAGCCGTATATGGAGTAAGGATCCAGCATAAGCTTAGAATAGTGTAAAGGGAGCAAGTCGGTTGTGGTGTGCCGATACCGAGGATACGGTAGGCCTGTAAATAAAGAGGGCAAAAATGAATAATCAAAGATTTAATACAGTCAACAAATATATACAAATTAACCAGACATTTCCTTAAATGTATTACAGTATTTAATTCCTGAAAGGATTTTGAAGGTAGGAATCTAGGACCGAAAGTGGGCACCATTTGTTGTGGGTAGGATAGTATGTTATCTCTACTGTTGGTGCATGTTGACTCATTTCGGAATGTGGTAGAGCCAATAGGTAATGATATATGTGTTTACGTACGTGGGATCGTGGAAGACAATGATCTGTCTGAGTGGTGGTGATGGTAGTGGATTCTCTGGCCTGAGAAAGGCATAAAAGGAAATGTGCATGGCTGGTAATGGCCGACTTGGTAGTATAATTGAATGGTTGTAGATCTAATAGGTCCGATAAGGATGAACAGTTGGATGGCTATTGGTAATCTCTGAGAGGAACGTGGGGGAATGGATTCCTGAAAACCTCTGGAGTATATTCTTTTCTGGTATGATAGCATGAAGTTTATGGTAGTTTTGGCCATAGGTTATCATGTGTTGTTGAATGCCTGTAAAATATATAATTAATGGTGTATGAGATAGTTTAAGGTGGCAAAAATAAGCAAAACTTAGGAGAAATTTTTTGTGACACAGGTTGAGCTATGTCGTGTTCCAATGAGATTCTTTAAGCCAGGTGAAAAGCTGTGTTATGCGTTCTACAAGTATGGGACGAAAGTGCTAGGTGGGATAGTGCATGCTATGCTGCATGAGTATGTCTAATCCATGA